AGAGGAGAACAGAGGAGAAGGGATTGCAGCATGGCCATCCCTCCTGGGGGGTGATTTCTCACTTTCTGTCTCTCTGTCTCTCTCTGTCTTTCTGGTGAACGCATGCGCCCTATAGCAAAAACCTCTCAAAAAAAAAAAAAAGACATTACTATACAAATTATCTTCACCGGATTTTATTTTATTATTAATATATTTATACATTTAATCGCTATACATCATTTAGATTGTAAAGAGATTTTATCCATCGTGATACACATCTCAGTCCAGTTGAGAATACTATACACATCTTCATCAATAGATAATAAACTATATTGGTGTCCCACAAATATCTTACCTTTCCATTTTATCCCCCAAATTTCCTTTCCTGCACTCTTCCCCTCCCACTCTCTCGTTCCACTTTATCACAGTGTCCATAACAATTTTTAATGCTTTTATGTCCTCCAGTCTTTCAGTCTCTACTGCAGACTGCACAAGAGTGCAGTCTGTCTGTATATGTTAAGTGGAAACATACAATGTCTCTCTTTCATAACCTGACTTGCTTCACTCAGCAACAAATCTTCCATATTCATCTACTTTCTATCAAATTCCAAGGCCTTGTTTTTTATGGCTGAATAATATCCCATGGGGTATATATGCCACACATTTTCAATCCATTCATCTGTTTGTGGACATTTGGGTTGGTTCCATGTCTTAGCAATCATAAATACCGCTGCAATAAACCCAATTAAAAGATGGGAAAATGCACCGAATAAACAACTCTCTAAGGAAGACATACAAACAGCCAAAAAGCATATGAAACAATGTTCAACATCCCTCATTATAAGGGAGATGCAGATCAAAACCATGATGAGATACCACCTAACCCCAGTCAGACTTTTTAAAAAAGAAGATTAAAAAAAAAATGTTAAGTGTTGGTGGGGATGTGGTGAAAGAGGAACACTTCTACATTATTTTGGGGAATGTAAATTGGTTCAGTCACTGTGGAGAACAATATAGAGGTTCCTCAAAGATCGTCAAATAGAACTACCATATAATCCAGCAACTCCACTCCTGGGTATCTACCCAAAGGATAAGAAAAGCATTTGCACAACTATATTTATTGCAGCACTATTCATGATTGCTAAGATATTACTATACATATTATCTTCAACAGATAATTTTATATTTTGTGTTTCTTAAGTGTTCTGCTTCTTTCTTTTTTCCCCTTTATTCCCTCCCTTTTACCCTCTGCCATTTCCTACCGTCATTTCACACTGTCTCTGGCATCCATACTTGCTCTCCATGCCTTTATCCTGTCTAATATTTCCGTTTCTTCCATAGACAGTACAAAACACCAGGCAGAAGAAAAACGACTCTATTTTAAAACTATGAATTTATGTTTAAATGTTTATTTTTAAAACTCAAAGAGAAGGCTAGCAAATGGTGTGGCAGGTAAGGCACTGGATTCCACATGACTGAGCCAATGGTTTAAGTCCCAGACATAGCAGTCTGAAAAACACACAGGGTACACATGCATACCTGCCCAAGATCTTGAGAGGAGAATCAAAGAAAAGGAATTGCAGTGTGGCCATCTACCCTGAGTGGGTGATTTCTCACTTTCCCTCTCTGTCTCAGTCTGGCAAGTGCACATGACCTATGGCAAATATATATATATATATATATATATATATTGAAGAGAGAGAAAGCAAAAATAAGTTCAATGGGACGTGGATGCTATTGTTTATAACAAGGAAAGATATCCACCAGGAACAGGAGCTTAAATGTACTGAAGTAAGAGACTGAGTCTTTCCTAAAGACAGCATCCCCAAGGTAGGTACCAGCACAACATGTCCCATATTCGTTTGCATCTCTTCTTGGAAGAAAAAAAGTCAACCCTATAGAAGGAGCTTTCTAGCCCATGTTCCTGCTTCCCCTCCCCCCAACACATCCCAATCAACTTCAGACAAAATGATGACTTGATATCATAAAAAAATTCTTCTATAAGGGCACCTTTTACCACCAGGCCCACATTCAACAGCAGGAGTTAAAAACCCCTAAATGCCAGGTAACCAAGTAAACCAGATGTTCATTTGGTCTCTTTACCAGAAGACAAGTCTGGCTTGAACCATCCAATTTTTACCTTGACATTAGTAGTCAATGTCACTTCTCCATTTCTCCTTATTAATTTTTCTCTATGAAATCAAAGTGAGGCTATTCTGATCTACTTTTTCCAAGGAGCTGGTAACTACATTCAGAAATCAGGACCACATTCCCCTAAGTATCCAAAATGAAGTTCTAGGGGAATCATAATGACTCTTAGAATTACTGAGTGCTTCTCTATGGTAGAGAGCGAAATATTGGAGGACATAAAAGCAGTAAAAGTACTTAACGAGAATAAGACAGTGTGGGAGGGGTGATGAAGAGAAGAGGATAGAGAAAGATAGCAAGAGAACAAATAGAGAGGCATGACATTAGTGGGACACAGATATGGCTTATTACCTGTTGATGATGACGTGTATAGTATTCTCAACTGGATTGGTCTGAAAAGTATTTCATGATGATTAAAGCCTTTTTACAAGCAAAATGAGAAATAGTGATTGACTTTAAAAAAATAATTGGAATAATAATAATAAAATCGGGAAAAAGAACGAAGAGATATTGAATGATGAAGTGGGAAGTTTAATGTCTCTGTATTGACTGACATGCATGGCATTCCCTTTTGAAAAAGCAATGTAATACACTATAAAGTTATATGCAATTCAATGCAGTATAAACAAGATTTTGATGTTAATAAATAAATAAAAAGTAGGACCTGGATAAGTACAAAGCTTTAAAAAAAGAAAAGAAAGAAAGAAAAGAAAAGAAAAGAAAAGAAAAGAAAAGAAAAGAAAAGAAAAGAAAAGAAAAGAAAAGAATTACTGAGTGCTTTACAGAACCATGATATGTTCTTGGCATCTCTGTTAAAAATCAGTCAACTTAAGTGTGAATTTCTGTGTTCTCTGGGTATTGATAGTGATTCATGAAATGTTCAACACAAATAAGGCATTTAGCAAGAGTTAGACAGCCATGAGCTGGAGGGAGAGCTGGTTCAGAAAGCCCACTAATATATTGTCCTTCTGTAAGTTTTATGCTAAATAAATCAATATTCAGCCCCATTCCAAATCATAGTAGTGACCCTGAGTCATGAATATAAAGGGGAGTAAAGGAAATAAGACTCCCCATGAAAATAGATCCCTGTTTCTTAAATGAACTCAGTATAAAGGAGCTATCAAGAAAGACTGCTCCACAATGCAAAGTTTTCTCACTCTTCAGACTAATGCAAATACTCAAATGCAATTTGCTCTGAGAAACAAGTTATTAAGTGCACCATTTTGTTTCTGAATGAATTTGGTTTCTAGAGGAAATTAATGTTAGCTGCCTAAGTGTAGAAGCTTCCCAGAGAAAAAAAGCCTGAGATTATGAGTGGGCTTTGACCAGGCCAATCCAGCTCAGCACCTGCACTCCTAAGAATTATACATTACTGGCTGAGGTTTTCTAGGAACTTTCCCCTTTTCAGATTATTCTTGTTTCTGTTATCTTACTATCCACAACAGATCTGAGATGTAAATATGAAATACATTAGTATCCCCATTTTTCAGCAGAAAGAAAGTACTGAGGGTTGGACACACAAAGTGACAATTCTAAAGCCCCATGACAAGTCAGAAATAGGACAAGAAACATTCATTCTTTCAGCAGATCTTTATTAAGCATCTATTTTGTATCCAGCAGTGGGTTAGGCTCTGGGGATATAACAGTAAATCATTTTGCTAATTTCAAGTAAGCATTTTAAATGGGAAACTAATGGATAAATAAGCAAGTTCAGCTATCTGGGGATGCTAATAAATAAAATAGAGAATTTCAGGGTTGTGAATACTTTAGATTAATGGTCAAACAAGAGATCTCAGAAGAAATGACATTTCAGCTGAAATCCGAATAACACAAAGAAGAGAAGAGCATTCCAGAAAAGAGAAAGAGCAGAGACAGGCACGCAAATAGGAAAGCAAATGTGGCTGGATCATGGTAAGGAAAATATAGTGCTGGAAAAGAGGTAGAAACATAGAAAGTAAGCAAGTATTCAAATTTTGAAAATATTGTAGTGATTCTTTTCATTATCCTTAAGTCATCAATCTCAGCAGGTCTCCATAGGGCGGGCACCACCACATCTGATCAATCTTAGCAATTCTCTATGCATTGAATCAATCATTGTCAATACTTTGAGGGAAAGTGCTAGAAAAAATGAAGTCATTGTCCAAATTTTTCTGTAAAATTAGATGGAAGGAGGGGTGATAGCTAAGTAATAGTCTTGAGAGTCAGGATGTATAGAGAAAGAAGTGAGATTTCTTAACCTGAAAATGCCCTTTCCATTGCAAGAGGCTATGTTGTCATAAAAGATAGAAGTCTGGTCTTTTGTCAAAGTGAAATCCTGATGCAAGGGAAGTACCCACTTAACCAGTTTCCAAGACAGGAAGGCAAAAAGAAAGGAAAAGGGAAATAGAAGAGGAATAGTTAGATACACAATTCTGGTTCCATTTCCTTCCTCCCTGGGACCAAAATCTGGGATTGGAAATAGGAGAAACAATCTAATGAATGTAGGGTACTCCCGTAAGTGAAGCTTGTTTCTCACTTCCCTACCACAAAACTATAAAAATTCAAGTTAAAATTTGTGTTCCTAAAATGCAAAAATACAACTTTAAGTCATACTCTATTCTTACCCAAATGCATCTTCAACATGATTCCCTTCTTTAAGTCTCTCCAATGTCAATATTACAACCCACTACAGGTGGTTGGAATCCAGCCATTGAGTGCATAAAGCTCATCTCAAAAACCCAAGAGCTTGGAAAGAAGAAAGGAAATCTCATCAAGATGCTACCTTTCCTGGCATCTCATAACATTTGAACAGTCCTTTGCATGCAGAAAGTTAATGATAGTTAGAAGATAGATTTCCTAAATACATAATAAGCAGCTTTCTTTGGGTATCCCCTAGCCTTAACCAGTCCCAGATGGTCCACAGGTATTCAGAATCTGCTCCCAGTGCTAACTCCACAGGCTGATCCGGGCCCACACGTGGTACGGGAGGCACAGCTTGGGCGAGGAGCACAAGCAGGAGCCAGACAGGAGGCAGGGGTGGAGCATGGATTGCAAGGAAGTCTGCAGAGAGATAACAAGGTGACCGAAGTTAGGACTGGGAAATTAATTGAGGTCTCAGTGATGTGTATGGAGCATAAGGAAGGGGTCTCTACTACAAAACAATAGGACATGGACCCAACTGAAATCCCTGACCTACTACACACTCCTACTGTGCACATTTATGTGAGATCAGATGGTCTCTAAAAAACCTTCCAGAACTCAAGTTTTCTAGATGAGAGTCAGTTTCCATCCTATAGAATAGAAATCACTAAGAAGAATTTAAGGAAGGAAAGTCAAATCCAAAGACCTACTGGGTCTACAGTCAGATCTTCTGTTAGAGGCACATTCATATTTTCACTCTTATCAATCAATGACACACCAAGCAGCTCCAATGGACACTTGGCATATGACATCCTCTTATAAGTGGATGTCATTCCCTTCCAACTCAATCAACCATGCAGAGTATAAAGTACAGGACAGGGCAATGACTCACTGCAAAGGAGCTACAGAGAACTTTGTTCTTTGTAGACACAGCTCTTCTGCTAAGCTAAGGACTCCATAGAAATTGGGTAAATGACTTGGCCAAGAATTGCCTAGATCACACATACTTGCAGTCCTCACTCTCCAGAAGGTTCCGGTACGTGGCTATCTCACACTCCAACCGGGCCTTGACATCCAGCAACACCTGGTACTCCTGGTTCTGCCGCTCTAGGTCAGCCCGGATCTCAGACAGCTGCTCCTCTACATTAGTGATGAGACTCTGCATCTGGGCCAGCTCAGTGCCATAGCGACCCTCAGCTTCACACAGTGAGTTCTGAAGACAATCTTTCTGTAATGGGAAATAATGGGATTAAATACTCAATGTATCCATGGAAACTGCTACATGCACCCAATCTTAGAGGGGGTTAAATATAGCCAGAATTTCTGCAAAATAAAAACTCACCTAGCACAGGGCAAGTTGCAAGAACTCATGCTAAGTTGCCTATGAATAAGACTTCCAGATTTGCACTGCTCCCAAAGATAATTTGCTGTATATTATCCATCCTAATCTTTCTAATACCTGACAAAAAGTTAAAACTCAAATTTTTTGTAATAAATACTTATTTTTAAAAGAAATTGACTTTTTAAGGCTTTGACAATAACTACCCCCCAAAAAAAGAAATTGATAATCAACAGGTAGACAAGTAGGAAGATGAAGGTAGCAAAACCTCAAAAAAAGTACTGCCAGACCATGGCATAGGACCTTTGCGATCTGGTGAAGATGAAGGAGGACACGTACCAGGTTGTGTTGGGCTTGGCGCTCCACCTCCAGGGCATTCACTTTGCATTTCAGCTCCAGGATCTCCGACTGGCAGCACTGCAGCTCCTCAGAGCAGGACATGGCCTGTAGGCTGATACCTTCAGACTGAAGCACAAGTGCACAGAGACTTGATCACCTTCCTGCTCACGTGGAAACCAGGGGCCCTCCCTGCCCTGCAGTACCACCCTCACCTGGGCCTGGAACCACTGCTCCACATCCCGGCGGTTGGTCTCCACCATGGTCTCATACTGGCACCGCATCTCCTCCAGCACCCTGCTCAGGTCTATGGTAGGCTCAGTATCCAGCTCAATCCGAAGTTTGTCTCCCAGCTGACCCCTCAGAATCTTCACTTCCTACAGGGACAGAAGGGACATACACCCTGAGTGACAAAGTTCTTTTGACAGAGCAAATGGCAACTAGACCCCTCCTCTGACAAAGAAACACATATACTAATGGGAAAGTCTTGTCCAGGGCCCAAAGGGAAGAGTCCATGTGTTGACCTTCACAAGACAATTCTGCCCCATTCCACAGAGGCAGAGGCAGGTTGAACTCTCAGACCCACATCAGCCCTTTACCCTGATGCTAACTGAGCCCAGGTTGTGATCTGAGCACCACTGGGCATGGTGCACCCTTGTCTGCCTAGCACTCTCCCCCATAAGTCAGAGCTCACGGGGGCACACCTGCTCATGGTTGCTCTTGAGAGAGAGCTGCTCCTCCTTCAGGGACTCCTGCTGGGCCTCCAGGTCAGCCTTGGCCAGGGTCAGGTCATCCAGGAGCTTCTGCATCCCACACATATCTGCCTCCACCAGCTGACGCAGGGAGTGCTCACTCTCATGCCTTCCAACACAGGAGATGGGAGGTCCACAAGAATGTCAACAAGAGTCCCTCTGCCCCATTTTCCATCCCCTTCACCATCTTGGTTCCTCATTTGTTCACTCTGCATAGCCCTTTAGCTGAAAGTTGAATTAGACGCAGTCCTTCTTCTCAAAGAGCTCATGGTATAGTGAAGGACAGCAGTGCAATGTGCAATACGCATTTTTGCCACTGTATATTGAGGCAACTGAGATTCCAAAAGATTGACTGAGTTGCTAGAAATCATATAACACAGGACTCATGCCATTGTATGAGCTATCAATTACCTAGGAAAAGCAATAGTCAGTTTCCTTATCATTGATTTGTTGCTTTCTATTTCTTGTGTTCTGCTACTTTTCCATCTCTTACTTATTTAGTGCAAACACCTAGTATCTTACGACTCCATGGATAAATATGGAAATTAACTCACCTGTGATTGACTCTACTAACATGCACATAAAATTCAATGGCTGTCCTTTCTCAGTTTATCCTTTAGTTCACCTTATTTTGCTCCTGGTTGATGAACTCGGGCTGTTTTATCTTCCATTTTAGTAAAATAAATGAAAGAAGACTAAAACACATGCTTCACTTAATGTTTTTCTCAACCACCTTCCATAAGTTTGGGTTATAGTAAAAATTTTAATTTAGGTGATTTACTAAGGAAGAAAAAGCACAGTAATTCACCCATTGAGTAAGTATTTGGGATGTAGGGTGGGGAAGGAGTCCCACTGGGCCTTCTTTCAGTTTTACTTACTTGATTCTAAAGTCATCAGCAGCCAGTCTGGCATTGTCAACTTGTATAATCAGCCTGGCATTCTCAGCCTTGCTACACAGGATCTGAGAAAGCAAGAACACAGTTCACGTACAAACACCATACTCTAGGATCCAGCTCTAAATGTGGTATGTGCATTCATATCTCAAGAGAATCTAATAACACAAAACTCTTTGGGCCTTAAATGGATTTATGCCTGCCCTTTTCTTCTGCTTTCCTTAGACCCAGCATATCCTAGGCTATAGAATAAACCTCACCTTCTGCTGGAGCTCCTCAATGGTCCGGAAGTAGGACTGGTAGTCCGGGCACACTGTGGACTCATGGCATTTACTAATCTCTCTGATGCCGGTCTCCAGCTCCGCGTTCTCCTTCTCTAGCTGGCGCACCTTCTGCAGGTAGTTGGCCAGGCGGTCATTCAGAAACTGCATGGTCTCCTTCTCATGGCCATTCAGACTGCCTTCACCATAGCTCCCACAGATTCCAATGTTGCCAGGAATGTGGCAGGTCCCTGGCAAGGGACAAGCAGTGCGGCAGCTTTGGGGTAGACAGAGACTGGGTCGGCCCAGAGGGGTAGACCCCACACGGACTCGGTTGGCATGTGCCACATTGGCCAAGAGGCATGGGAAGGCCACCTTGGCCTCTGCTCCAGGTTGGCACCCAACGTCAATGAAAACGTTTTCTGCTCCAGGGATCTTGGCACCCAGAGGACAGGATGAGCTGATGTAAGAGGAAGTCATAGTTTGGGCTGAGGATGCACAGGAGTTTCAGATCAGCTGAGAAGATGAAGCCACTGAGTCTGAAAACCTTCTCTTTTCCTAGTCCTTTTATACCCCATCCCTGGTGGGTGTTGGCTCACTTGCCTTGACCTCACTGCCTTGATTATCTGCTTGTTGTTGTACCATTTTCCTGTTACTCAACTACTGACTTGACCATTAAAAGTTCCTCACCTTGTTAAAAGAATGCTGATGAATCTAAGGTGTCTTTTGGCTCTTTGATATCAGGTTGGCTATTAATGGAAGGTCAGTTCTTTATTATCTTTCAAAGAAGAGTTAATCCTTTTAGTCATTAGATGCTTGTACCCCAACTAGATATTGGCCTATTATTGATGTGCCATGCTGTAGGTGTGAGTATTCCTGTGGGTTAGAGGTGTAGCAGGAGGAACAAAGCCCTCTGACAACAGTGGGGCTCACTTGAGTTAAACTCAATCAGCACTTTCTATACAAGGAAGAAACTGATTCTAGATATTGGTAGCTGTTATGGTATTTGCTTATCAAAAAGTTTGCATTTCTTCTTTCTTTTGCTGTGTGCTATTCAACCTTGTTTGAGAGGGAGAAAGACTTAGATAAATCCATTCTTCAAGACATATCTGGCAACATTCTATATGGCAGGCACTGCACTCCATGTTCAACATGCAGTTCCTGCTTTCAGGGAACAGCCCTCACTAGGCAGACATGAATGTTTAAAGAGTGTCTGAGAAGTTCATCAGTGTAGCAGTGTCTCTGAAAACCATGGCTGCTCTGGACCAAGGAAGGTGAACTCAAGAAACCAGAAACAAACAAAAACGAACAATAATCTTTTGGGAAATAACAACCTAGCCATAAAAGTGGAAGGATAATAAGTTTTACTTACTTGATTCTAAAGTCATCAGCAGCCAGTCTGGCATTGTCAACTTGTATAATCAGCCTGGCATTCTCAGCCTTGCTACACAGGATCTGAGAAAGCAAGAACACAGTTCACGTACAAACACCATACTCTAGGATCCAGCTCTAAATGTGGTATGTGCATTCATATCTCAAGAGAATCTAATAACACAAAACTCTTTGGGCCTTAAATGGATTTATGCCTGCCCTTTTCTTCTGCTTTCCTTAGACCCAGCATATCCTAGGCTATAGAATAAACCTCACCTTCTGCTGGAGCTCCTCAATGGTCCGGAAGTAGGACTGGTAGTCCGGGCACACTGTGGACTCATGGCATTTACTAATCTCTCTGATGCCGGTCTCCAGCTCCGCGTTCTCCTTCTCTAGCTGGCGCACCTTCTGCAGGTAGTTGGCCAGGCGGTCATTCAGAAACTGCATGGTCTCCTTCTCATGGCCATTCAGACTGCCTTCACCATAGCTCCCACAGATTCCAATGTTGCCAGGAATGTGGCAGGTCCCTGGCAAGGGACAAGCAGTGCGGCAGCTTTGGGGTAGACAGAGACTGGGTCGGCCCAGAGGGGTAGACCCCACACGGACTCGGTTGGCATGTGCCACATTGGCCAAGAGGCATGGGAAGGCCACCTTGGCCTCTGCTCCAGGTTGGCACCCAACGTCAATGAAAACGTTTTCTGCTCCAGGGATCTTGGCACCCAGAGGACAGGATGAGCTGATGTAAGAGGAAGTCATAGTTTGGGCTGAGGATGCACAGGAGTTTCAGATCAGCTGAGAAGATGAAGCCACTGAGTCTGAAAACCTTCTCTTTTCCTAGTCCTTTTATACCCCATCCCTGGTGGGTGTTGGCTCACTTGCCTTGACCTCACTGCCTTGATTATCTGCTTGTTGTTGTACCATTTTCCTGTTACTCAACTACTGACTTGACCATTAAAAGTTCCTCACCTTGTTAAAAGAATGCTGATGAATCTAAGGTGTCTTTTGGCTCTTTGATATCAGGTTGGCTATTAATGGAAGGTCAGTTCTTTATTATCTTTCAAAGAAGAGTTAATCCTTTTAGTCATTAGATGCTTGTACCCCAACTAGATATTGGCCTATTATTGATGTGCCATGCTGTAGGTGTGAGTATTCCTGTGGGTTAGAGGTGTAGCAGGAGGAACAAAGCCCTCTGACAACAGTGGGGCTCACTTGAGTTAAACTCAATCAGCACTTTCTATACAAGGAAGAAACTGATTCTAGATATTGGTAGCTGTTATGGTATTTGCTTATCAAAAAGTTTGCATTTCTTCTTTCTTTTGCTGTGTGCTATTCAACCTTGTTTGAGAGGGAGAAAGACTTAGATAAATCCATTCTTCAAGACATATCTGGCAACATTCTATATGGCAGGCACTGCACTCCATGTTCAACATGCAGTTCCTGCTTTCAGGGAACAGCCCTCACTAGGCAGACATGAATGTTTAAAGAGTGTCTGAGAAGTTCATCAGTGTAGCAGTGTCTCTGAAAACCATGGCTGCTCTGGACCAAGGAAGGTGAACTCAAGAAACCAGAAACAAACAAAAACGAACAATAATCTTTTGGGAAATAACAACCTAGCCATAAAAGTGGAAGGATACTGGAACCAGTAGGCAGCATAATGGTTACATCTTTGGACTTCCAAGTAGTGAACTGTGGTTTGGGTCCCGGACCCAGTGGCTTAAAACTCACACTGGACATGTGTGTGCGTGTGTGTGGGGGGGGGGTGGGTGTGTGTGCCCAAAATCCTGAGAGGAGAATGGAAGAAAAGTGATAGCAGCATGCCCACCCCCCCAGGGGGTGGTGATATCTCACTCTATCTCTCTGTCTCTCTGGCGAGTGCACATGCTTTATAGCAAAATTTTCTCAAAAAAAAAGGAAAGAAAAGAAAGTAGAAGGACGCTGAGTTATGAGAGCTGCTATGGATGCTCTCCAAGCTTTGCTTCCTTGGTTCTGAAGTCAGTTGTTGGCATCCACCATATGTGTTATTGGCACCCAAATATTGATTCATGATATTGTTTAATCCTATTGCCATCCTGTGAGGTGGGTATTCTTTTATTTTTTTAATTTAAATTTATTTATTTACATTCATTCACTATACACCATTACAGCATACAAAATGAGATTTCCCATCCAGAATACACTGTATATTGGCTCAGTAAGCACATCAACATATGTGTTATCAACAAATAATTTTCCATTTCTTATTTCCTGTATATTTTGCTTTTTTAATATAAATTTCATTTTAAAAAAAATACATAAGCCATTGAAGACCAGTGATGTAAAGTCATTTTTCTGTGTTCAAACTCCATTATAAAATGTGTATAAAAATATAGAAAGTCTGCTCTCGGTATCATCTTCTTTAGACTCCAGTGCCTATTCTTACTCTCTTCCCCTTGACTATCACCATGGCCACATCCCCAAGAACAACCACACCATTGCTGAAACTAAAAAGGATTAGAAGACCTAGAGGCCAGCCACATAGGGTAGTGGCGACAGCAACTGGATCCCACAAAGCCAATCAGAGTTCAGATCTCAGTCTTGATGGTTTGAAAAATGTGTTGGGCGGATAATGTGTGCTTGAATGCTCAAAATCCTGACAGGAAGGAGGAATAAAGGAGCAAAGACCACAGCATGACCAGGCCCAATTGAGATACAGCGCTTACTCTCTCTCACTCCCCCTCTCTCTCTTTCTCTCCCTGTCTTCCCCCCTTTGGTGAGCACACACCAATGCCCTCTGTCAACTGAAAGAAAAAGTCCTAGAAACTGGGAAAGAACCTGAAATTAACAAAACAAAAGTGCACTGTGTATTAGTTTCTTTGTGTCTCAGAAAATACAAATGTTAAGGTACCAAAGCAATAGGACAGTTTCTCCAAGAACTAAGGCAGGAAGATGCTCTGGGGAAAGATCTGTCTCCAAAATGGTGATACTATACATCCCACATTTCAATAGCTCCTGGCAGCAGGGATTCAAGACAGCCAACTGCTTTTTTTTTTTTTTTTTTTTTTAGAGAGAGGGGGGTTTTTCCTCTAGGGCGGTGACCAGACAGAGAGACAGAGAGACAGAGAGACAGAAAGCAAGAAATCACCCCCCAGGGGGGATGGCCACGCCACAATCCCTTCTCCTCCGTTCTCCTCTCAGGATCTTGGGCACCACGTACACGCGTCCGTCATGAGTTTTAAGCCACCGGGTCCCGGACACAAACCGCAATCGACTACATGGAAGTCCAGTGACATAGCCATTAAGTTAACTGCTGGTCCCAAGACAGCCAACTGCTGAGATCCAAAGTTTACCTGGATATTTGTGGCAGTAGAAAGGTAGGCCCTGACTGCTAAGAAAACCTAATGTGGAGGTCCAGCCATAGACACACAAGCAGGATAGTGCCACTAAACAGTCACTGAGACCACATTTGAGGCCCAGGTCCACTTCACAACCCAGCCTAAACAAGCCAGGTGCAGTGTCTCATTCCTGTGGCCCTACCCAACTGAGAGACTGGTGCAGAAGGACTGGAACATGGCAAGACTTTGTCAAAAACAGCTCTCTCTTCCCAACCCCACCCCACACTCTCAATGCTCTCTTTCCTAAAGACTAAAGGAAAAACTAAGATGGACCAAGATCTCCAAAATTTTCAAGGAAATGAATGATTACAGTGCTATAAGCACTGAACAAAAGCTGAATGAACATATATGTCTATAGGGTCCATGTATGTACATGTGAAACACAGACTATTAACATTCTATCAAGAATATAGAGTTTCAGGACCAGCAGATGGCATAGTGATTACATCACTGGACTCCCAAGTGGCTGATCACCGTTCGATATCTAGATCTGGTGGCTTGAAACTCACACCATGCGCATATGCATGCATGCCCAAAAACTTGAGAGGAGAGGAAAGAAGAAGGGACGGTGTCATCTCCCCAGGAGGTGATTTCTTGCTTTCTGTCACTCTCTTGCTTATCTGTCTCTCCAGTGAGTGTACACACCCTATAGCAAAAAATTTATTTCAAAAAAAAAAAAAAAAAAAGAATACAGAATTTTGGAGCCAGCAGGTGGCATGGCGGTTAGGGTGCTGGATT